TGCAGACCATCTCAGACACCTGCACTCAGGCCCGTGGTCCTGATCATCCTCTATGTGGACCTGCTGGGTAAAGCCACGAGGAACCCAAGAACAGGCTCCCACAGGACATACAGAACATCCCACAGCAGGTGATGATGCCCGTGTTTTCCTGCAGGGAGTGCTGTCTTGGTCTCCAAGCTTGCCATGGACAGGCTCTTTCATATACAGGGCATGTTCTATTATTTATTAACCCCAAGGAGGCCTGCCCACGCTAGCCTTCCAGCTGGTTAATTGGATTTCATGACAACTTTGTTAAAAGGAGCCTTCTGAGGAGCCTGTGTCCCGCCCCAGGGGTCCTGTGCAGGTTTCTCTTGCTCCTGGAAAGTGAAGCCACTGTCGTGTAACTCGGGCTTTAATCATGCCAGCCAGAGGAGCTCCAGCCCCAGTGGACGCTACGGTGAGCAGACACTGCAGGTAATGCTCAGGGGTGGAAACATGGCTCTTTTGTGCCTGTGATGGAGAAAAATGACCACTGTGCTTGGCGCGCAGGGCATGCATGTGCTAATTATTTTTGTGGCACTTCTGCTCCAGGTACAGCCCTGGAGAAGGTCAGAGTCCAAATGCCACCGGCTTGCCTTTTCCTCTAGTGAGCATCTCCTACTAAACATTTTCTGGTGACAGCAGCTGCCATGGAGGCCGAAGACTCTAATTTAACGATTGCTTTGAGAATCGGCAGCTAAACTCTTAGCCTGGACCGCTTTGCCATGGCTAAGGTTTCAGCCAGAGAATTCTGGAGGGTGGGGTGGGGTGAGAGAAAGGACCCCCCTGGCTCATGGCTGGGGCCCCAAGCAACACCTGAGGAGAAACACAAGGCTTGGCTTGCAAAGTCCACCAAGCTGGATTTCCAAGGATAGGCAAGAATTTGGGGGGTTGTGGGGTATTTCTAGGGGGCATCTTGCTAGAATGAATCCTTTACAAGGAGGTCCTCAATGGAAGGAAGTTGGAAAACCCTAAACAAGGAGGCAAGGGGGGCTGGAGAGGACTGTTTTTCTGGAGAACCTGAGTTTGGTTCCCTGCACCCACATCAGGTAGTTCACAACAGCCTGTAACTCCAGCTCCAAGGGATCGGCTCTTCTGGACCATATAGGCAACCACAAACACAAAGCTCACACATACACATTGTTTTAGAGCTTAAAAATGAAAGCAAGGAACCAAACCCCTGCCCTGTGGCTCCTTTGCAGAGTTCTGACATGAGATGTGGACAGAGTGTGCCACTGTGAACAAATAAACTGGACCCCTGAAGAGTCTGTCCAGGAGTTTGGAAAGAGCACTGGAGAAAAGGGATGGAAGGCAGGCCTTGAGGATCTCTAGAGATGAGACTGGATGGAGCCAGTTCAGATGCTCTTTCCTGTGGACTCACACTTCCTAAACTGTCCTGAAACCGCTTACGACAGTGAGTGTCTGCACTGTGGAGAGGTGTGCCTGCATGGCGGCCCCACACTCCAGCAACAACAGGATATGCTGTACAGATATCCTCCTGAGAAGAGCCTCCTCTACTGATGAAGACCAGAGTTCAGAGAAGACGAGACCTTGCTTCAGTCTTTAAAGTCATGTGAAGGCAGGGCTGGAGTGAGGTCTCTGGATCCCCAAAGTTATAGTTATATAATGCTTTTCTAAAATGACAGCCTCTTGAAGCAAAAACAGACAAACAGGACTGTAGCATTAGGTCATGGAAACATGCCTATAGAGACTGTAGAAAGCTCTGTAGGACTTGTAGACCGTGAGAGGAAGTGGTGTTTCTTTGTTTGCTTGTGATAGGAAGGCTGGGAGAGGTTATCCCAGGCTAAGTGAAAAGCAAGGGGAAGGCCAAGGCTGAGGTCAGCAGAAGAGGATGTGGAGGTCCCCACAGACAGCAGCAGGTTTGGTTGGGAAGACACCCGGGCTAAGGTTTGGAGGACACAATGCCAGGTCCAAGAGGTTCCAAGCACCTGGGAAGCTCATGACATGGGGCAGACACCCTACAATGGCTGGGAGGCAACACCAGATGGAGGCTGTACCGCTGGGCAAGGGTGAGACCTGGCAGTCTTCAGCAGCTGGTGCAGTGGTAGGGGGGGAGAAAGTGTCTTCTTTCTCAACAGGAAGATAACTCCGGAGGGAACTAACAGGGCAGGGAGGGAAGGAGAAGGGGAGGGTGGGTAGGTTGGATGTCTCTGAGATGCCACAGGAAGATATGGGCAGAGGATCCCTCCTGCACTGTCCTCGGCTACACCTACATTTGGGATTCAGTTTACCGACTGGGTCCCCCTGCCCCTCAGGCCTGCCTGGGGTTAGGGGCCTTTGCCAGCGTCTCCACGCACCCTCAGCACGGCAGCGGGAGGCATTTCCCATTTCTCTACCCTCTTGTTCCTCTAATTTTATGATTGTATGAAAATAAGGTTCCCAAATTGCCTTTAATTAGCTTTAATAAGACAGCCTTTTTGCTAATTAAAACGATTATTAAGAAACCATTTATTGAGAATAAACACAGTGTTAGGACCCGCGAGAATTCTGAACTCAACAACAGCAGTAGCCAACACCAAGTCCTTGCAAAGCGACCAGGTCACCTGCCTGGCTGCTAATCTCGGACGGACGGGGTTCGCCTCAAGTTGAGGGCCAAGGGTTCCACTTTCTCCCCTTTTCCAGACTAGCTGACACCCTAAGCTGGGAGTTTATAACGCAAAACAGTCCTGGGGACCTTAGCACCCAGCATTCTCTGGGCTCTGCCGCAAGGGTAGCCACTTGAACTGTAGTGAACCCTGCTGAGTCCCTGACTCCCCTGAGCTTACATCCCTACAGTGAGGCGGGAACGTGGTCCTGGGCGGTGACCTCGGGGGCCCAGACCCCTCTTGAAGCTGCGCGTTCTAAGGCATCTGGAGCTCATTCTCTGAACCCGGGCCTGAGGGTGACACAGAACTTCGGGGTGGCAGAGCCGAGCAGCTGTTCTCAGTTACTCTCCCCCTTCTGGGGAGCCACTCAGTCAGCCTGTGGCAGTGGGGTTCACAGACGCCTGGCTCCGGAGCCAGGAGGAAGCGCGAAGCTGGGTAAGGCCGGAGGCGCCGAGGTCCACATCGGTCCCTGGGTTTCCGCGGCGTCGCTTCCTCTCCACCTTCCTGGAGCAGCGCAGCTGCGGGAGGCCGGTGGGGGGTTCGCCCCTTGGTCTTTCCCCGCGGGGAGATGGAGTTTGGAGAGGACCGGGACCCGCGAGGCGGGGGTCACCAAGGTCGAACGAAAGTGGCACAGCTTCCGCATCTGGGCAGTGTCCGCTTCTTGAGTTGCGGGTCCTGCTGAGCCTGACTCCTACCTACAGTCCCCACAGGAGACCTCCAAGGGACCCAGAGGCCTGGCAGTAGCCTAAATACAGTGCTTTGGTTTTTGTCAGTCTGTCCGTCCGTCTGTCTGTCTACCTAGTTCAGTTGAGCTTTCCCATCCCGACAGCTTTCTTCCTACCGACGGTAGCAAGCCCCTAAGCAATAAGCGAGGTGAAGCGGGCTAGTCGGAAGCCTGTGAAGCTAGTCAGGAATGTGTCCTTGACATCCCAACCCCAGCCAGCGGAGGCGAAGACCAGGCTCTAAGGTCTCAAACCCCACAGCTCGAGCCCCTGCTCTGATGCTGGCCTCTCGCTTTGGGTTAGGGTCGGGGTCAGGGCGCGCCCCGTGGTGTCCAGCTCTGTAAAGCCAGAACGGCTGCGGATGCTTCAGTCAACAACGTTGGGGACCTCGGCCAGGCCAAATAGTCTGGAGTATGGAGGAAAGCCGGGCCTGGAGCTGGGGAAAGCTCCCTAGGTGGTTCCGAGGTGCGGACCCCGCTGAGAACAGGCGGTGAAAGTCAAAAGACTACGTTTGGAAAGGAAGGCACAACCAGGCCCACTTGGGCGCCAGGATGCCGAGTGGGTCAGTGCCCAGTGTCTGCAGGTGAGGTTGAGGCACAGACATCCACATCCCAGGCCTGGGATGCGGTTCCAGGCAGGCGCGCGCCCGCATGCATGTACATGCACACGCGTCAGGGACACACGCCTGTACCCACTGTCTGCGCCCCGCGTGGCTGGCTGCTCCGGTACCCGACAGCAGGCGACCGCGCGCTCCTCCAGCCCGGGGCGCTTCGCAGAGCCCCCGCCCGGCCGCGCGGTGCTTGCTCTGGCTCTTTGTTATGTTAATTCCCTTCCCAGCTGGTGCCAGCTGCCTGCACAATGGGCGCCCTGAGCCCCGCCAGCCCTCGCCAGTCCTCACCAGCCCGTGAGTGGGGGCGGGGCGGACCCTGCGCCCCGTGTAGATGGGGCGGGCGCGTCCTGATGAGTGAGCGCTGCGGAGCGAGCAGCACCTCCCCCCACTCCGGCAAGACCGCGCCTCCGGGGCCTGCGGGGCGAGCTCTGATTCTTTCCAGTCGCCCGGGCTGCCTGCCCTCTAGGTGCCAGGGCTAGATGGAAAGTAAAAGGCTTCTGGGCGGCTCCGGAGCCATGAGGATGAAAGAGGACAGCCGCCTCCAGACCACACAGCTAATCCCGCCATAAACCTCGAGCAAATACCGGGAGAGGAGGAGCAGGCCCGCTACAGATGTGGAGTGCAGCCTCCGGGGATCCCCAAATTAAAACCCGGGCAGGAGAGGCACTTGGACCACCACCAAATGACACTAATTGGGTTATGGGACCATAATCTTAGCTGGTAAGGAAAAATCCAGTTACAGTCACAGCTGCAAGGACTGTCTTCATAAAGCAGCAGAGGGAACGTGGGCTATTTTATTACGCATAAACATGAGGAAGAGGCTCAGGGTCCCCTGCCTGCCTGGTGCAGGGAGGCGAAGAAGAAGCTCTTGTGCCAGGAGCAGCAGCGCTGTGCCTGGCTGGCTCCGGGTGTGCCGGGCTAATGGGCTGGGGGAGGGTGGGGTAACGTTTTGAGCTGGGGGCGAGCGAATCCGCCTGCAGGAATGTAGTGTTACCACAGGAGAATAGTCATGGGCAGTGTACACACAGAGAGAGACAGAGACAGAGAGACAGACAGAGAGAATACTAGAGAGACAGAGAGAGAGAGACAGAGAGAATACTACAATAATGAGTTAAGCTTAGATCTGTAACAATTGGAGTTGTAAATGAATTAATTCTTATAACGCTCACGGCAGGGGTCATCTCACTGTGCATCTACTTATTCCGTCACTGAACACCCTGATGGACAAATGACCAGTGGTTCGTTTAGGATTCTTTCTGCAGTTAACTTTCAGAGAGCGACCCATGCCGCCCCCATTTTGTGTAGCCACCTTGACTAAAACCAGTGAAGGCTGAGCTGGCTGCAGGTTCTTACTAGTTGGAGTTCTAGCCATTGGAAAATGGAATTTTTTTTCATTAGTTGTTGGTTTTCCAAACAGTGAGAAGACAGAGCTTGGAGATGGCCATCCTGGTTTCCCTGGGCAAGCTGAGTGTCTTCTGCCCGCCACCCTCCAGTGCTGGCTCCAGCCACTCGCAGGAGACACAAGATCCAGCCTACAACATTCCCTTACAGAAGAAAGGTTAGCAGACCCTTACCCACCACTCAGCCACCCTTGGCCCCTAGCTGCACATGGCCTTTGGGGTTGACTAGGGATGGAGACTCCGGTGATGTTGTGTAGCCACCTGTACAGGGTGGGACATTTAGTGACAGGGCTGCCTGAGCCACTCATGCTCCCGTAAAACACCCCAATAAATCCACTGATTCAGCCAGCTGCACATTCCCCGGAGGCATTGTTTCCTTGACTTGTTGATGAGGCATTTTTCTGCAGGACTCTTCCAGGAAAACCTGCAGTTGCCTGAGGAGTGTTCTGGCTCCTCGATGTCTCCCAGCGGACACAAATTGCAGGTATTCTCATGCCATTCCTGAGGCTAGTGGTGCAGGGAGAGGCCTGGCTTTTTGCTGAGCATCCCAGGGCTATCATGGTTTATCACTGAACTCTGGTGGCGTTCCTCACCCTCCAATCACAGGGCTCCCCTTGTTGCTCTCAGGTCCTACCAATCAAGTGGTATACCCACCTCAGGGAAATCAAGTGGTATACCCACCTCAGGGAAAACTCGATAGCTGAGAAACAGGTGAGTGGGATTTTGTGAATAGTATACTATTCTGAAACCATCAGCTGAATTTAAAAGTTACATAAAAAAAGGGATGAGAGTCTGAAGTAGGACCAATCTACTTGATCTGATACTGAAACTTCCCTCTTACAAGCAGAAAACACAGGGTTGGGGCTGTAGCTCAGTTGGTAGAGTGCTTGCCTAGCATGCATGGAGACCTGGGTTTGATTCTCAGCATGGCATAAACCATAAACAAGATGTGGTGGTGAATGCTTGTAATCTCAGAGACAGGAGGATCATCTTCAGATACATAGTGAGTTTCAGTCTGGGTTATAAAAGACTGTCTCAAAAAGGAAAAAAGAAGACTCACCACCAACAAAACAAAACAAACAAAAACAGACAGTGCAGAATAGATCCTAGTTGCTTCCTAATAAGGCAGGGCCCCAAAGGTTTTTTTTTCTTTTTCTTCTCCATGTAGCCCTGGCTGTCTGGAACTCAATCTGTAGACCGGGCCGGCCTCTTGTGCCACATTGCCCGGCTGTTTTGACTGTTTAGAATGCTGCTTTGGTTTCTCCTGTGAGGTTGGGCACACAGGAGAACGAACGACTGAGCTTAAATCATCTGAAATGTTTAATTTAGCACCATGTTTTGGTGGGATTTTTTTCTTCCAGAATAAAGACTATGTCTAAAGGAACCAACCATTCCATGTGGTAACAGAATTAACTTGGACTTTGGCAAACTGTGACAAGTTAGGAATTAAGAGATTGTACCTTTTCCCTTGTAAGAGGCCCCTCTTGGCTGTAGTGGCAGAGTGTGGCTCTGCATCCAGGCTGTCAGGCCCCAAACCCTGCCTTACACTTCTGGCCTCTGCTCTATTCCAGCCTTACATGAAAGCCTCTGCCTCTCTGTGCCTGAACTGAGTGGGGAGGTGTCTTGGGGCAACACCTCCGTCTCAGCACTGAGAGGTCTGGGGACATCTGCAGACTTGGGGAATGGCATGAGCAGCTTTCCCAGCTCTGGAAAAAGGAAGGCACAGGACGAAAACCTAGTCCTCTGATGTCTTTTCCTGTCTCCTGAGATGTCTTCACATTTCCTTCTGGGTACAAGGGAGCCTGTTTCTCAACTTCTTGTAGAGATGTTCGAATGCTGCCCCAGGTGCACTTTAGAAGAAGCCGTTCACCCCTGGATAGCAAGGAGACCAGAGAGAGTCCCACAGAACAGCTCATGCACTTCACTTGGGTCACCTTGGAGGGCACCTGCAGATGTTCCCACAACCATCCAAGCAGGGTTCAATTGACAACTACCACATGTCTGAAGCCAGGACTCAGCTACTCCCGTGGAATGGCCTGGATGGAGCCCAGTCTAGCCTGGGCAAGCACGAGCCAAAGCTGCTTGTGTGGTCCTTCCAACAAAGCGGACACCTGCCTATGCTCTTCACAACAGACATCTGTAACAATTCTTTTCCATGTGTGTTCTCCCTGGCCCCCAAAGATAAAAGCATCTAATCAGATTTTTGTTACTTTAAATCATGGGAATAGTTAAAAAAAAAAAAAAGACTGAGAAATAGGGAAATTACATGAGAAAAGATTCATTCATCTTCATATTTTTTTTTATCAGTTTCATTGTGGTCAAACGCAGGTGTTTTGAGCTAGAATAAGCAGTTTGCATTTTCAAAATTAACAAATTAGGGGTGGTGGGGGGGAACCATAGCCCAGCAGAGAGCTGTTGACAAGAGCTGCAGCCTGCAGCCACTCTCTCGCAAGGTCTGCGACCAGCAGCAGACTCGGCTGCGAGTCCCTCCTTCGTTTAGTCATCGTTCTGCGGCCCGTCACAGATACCGAAGGGAAATGCAGAGACAGGAAATTACAGGCTATTTTAGACGGCATGTTTTATTAAACTCACTTGCTGATGCACTTCATGGCAGGATGTGAGACTCAAGTGCTCATAACTTCATCCTTGCAAGTGCTCTTCCTGAGTGAGTTCTCCCACTGATAAACAAGCAGTTTCTAAACAGTCCCACCCCGGGCCATGGAGCACATCACTTCAAACAGGGAGATTTTAGTAATGTGAGGAGGAGAACACACCTTGCTCACACAATGCAACTGGAACTCCAGGAAGCAACAGCTGGCGCCTGGTGGTAAATCACAAGATCCCACATGCACTGGTTGTAAACCACAGCATCGGGCCGCGGCAGTGGGGTTGTGGAGATGGGGAAAGGCTCACCATACAAGCATGAGGGTCCAGTTAGGGATACCCGGCTCCCTATCAAAAGCCCGGTGTGGTGGTGCGTACCTGCAGTGCCAGCCAATCTAGCTGAGATAGGAAGCTCCAGGTTCAGAGAGACACCTTCTCAAAAATTAGAGGATCTTAGGATGATGGTCCAGTCAGTAGTGTGCTTGCTGCACACACATACGGATCTGAGCGCCCATGTGACAGCTAGGCATGGCAACACATGCCGGTAACCCCAGCACTGGGGAGGCAGAGACAGGGAGGCCCTGGAGCTCACTGGCCAGCCAGTCTAACCAAATCAGTAAGCTTCAAGTTCAATGACAGACCCTGTCTCAAAAAATAAAATGGAGAGTGACTGGGATGAGACCACCTTAGGTGGCCCTGTAAATTCCCTGTGTATATGTGCCCTGTACACACATGTACACATACACACACACAACATATGCACAGCAATCTTAAAAGGGATTACCGAAAGTTATCCATTATAGCTTCTTCTCCACCTAACACCAATTTCATTGTTCTCTTTGCTGGATTGTTCTGTGGGACAGAGACTCCATCATTATACTGACCCTTGGGTCAGCAGGGATGTGGTAACCTTAACTACAAGATCATTTAAGGATCTGTCATAGACTTGGGTTTGAACAGCTCATTTCCTCATCTGCTGTCAGCTGCATGAGGGATATGGACACCTAACCTCAGTGGAAGAAGCCGCCACCCTTGTCTGCTGTTCTGTCTGCCAGTGCTGCCCTGACACTGGCATCTCCTAGTGCCCGGGTCTCCTTCAAGCTTTCTGATTCTCAGAAAGGAAGCAATTGGTGTGGCCAATTGGTGCTACATGTTTCTGGCTGGAGAGAGTGGCCGTGTACTGCTGGAGTCTGCTTCCTGTATGGCTCCTGGTACCCAGCACTGCCGCATCTGAAAATGGACATCCTCATTTGCATGCTTGAATCCTTGTGTGACAGAGTAGTGAGTAGAACCTTCTAAGTCTCTATTGACTTGAAAGATCACATCAAAGACGCTTTGCTAATGACGACAGGTTATTAAATGGTTCGTTCTACTGGTTTTAAGCTTTTCCACATCCTCCATGTTCCCGGTACCTGCAGCGTAACTCAAGGTGTAGTGCAGGTTAACAGGGTTTTAAGAGTGGGACAGTTGCTGGGGGTGGAATACTCCTTTAATCCCAGCACTTGGAAGGCAGAGGCAGGAAGATCTCTGTGAGTTCGAGGCCAGCCTGTCTGCATAGAGTTCCTTAAAAAAAAAAAAAAAAAAAGTCGGGGCGGACAGTGCCTTTGTGGGATCATCTTCTACAACTACCCACTGTCGGAAAGGAAGGGACAGGAAAGACTGGGCTATAAACAGGAAGTGTGAGTTGCAGGGGAGCGATGCTGGGGAGCGGGATTTCTTCTGTTTCTAGACTGGGTCTCAAGTATCCCAGGCTGGCTTCATACTGGTGTGCCGCGGCACTGCCCACCCTCTGGTCTCTGCCTCCCCGACTGGGATTCCGGGTGTGTGGGCCATGCTGTTGTGCGGTGATGGGGATATGGAACCCAGAGCCGTGTACAAACTGAGTGAGTTCTCTTCTGACCCAACAGCCCAGGACCACTGCGGTTATTTGGGTGGTTGGTTTTTTCAATGTATCTTTTTTGTGCTCTCATGCCTGTGCTCACGTGTGTATACACGCACATGTGGGTGCATGGTGGTGTGTACACATGCATGTCTGCATGTGAAGGCCAGAGGTCAGCCTCGTGTTATGCTTCAGGAGCTGTCCCCTTGATTTTTGGGACAGGGTCTCTCAGTGGCTCGAAGCTCGCCAATTAGACGGGGACTGATCAAAAATATTTCAGGGATCTTCCTGTCTCTACCTCCTCAGTTCTGGGTTTAAAAGGTGGCGCACACCTTTAATCCCAGCACTCGGGAGGCAGAGCCAGGTGGATCTCTGTGAGTTCAAGGCCAGCCTGGGCTACAGAGTAAGATCCAGGACAGGCTCCAAAGCTACACAGAGAAACCTTGTCTCGAAAAACCAGAAAGTGCACACCACATCCAGCTTATTTATGTGGGAGATGGTGTAAGCTTCACAAAGAACCCAGTTAAGGGGTTCACTCACTATGGGGAGTGCCTTGGCCACCTGGGAAATCTAGTTAGTGCTGCTTGGGTAGATCAACAGCGCTGACTCTGAGGAGCCACACAGGAAACACACTCAAACTGACCACAGAAAATTTCTGTAATCTGGATGCCTGCATAGGGTCTTCTGGCTTTGTTTTGTTTGTTTTAGAAAAGGAGTTTCTCTTATTATTCTGGAAATGTCCTAAAACAAAACCCAGAAGATTAACAGCAACCGGTTCTCATGCTGAGAAGGAGAGATTCTGCTGAGCAGAGCCTGCTCAGGTGAGCACTGACGGACACAGCCGACTCAAAGGGCTTTGGGACCAGCATCTGAGATCCCAACACTTGGGAGGCAGAGGCAGGAGGTAAGGGGCTTGGGTCAGCCTGGGCTACATAGGAAGAGCCTGTCTTAAAACCCCACGTAACACAGGATGGACACACCTAGATCATCGAACTGTCTGGAAATGCTGGGGTTAAAAAAGCAAAAGGGCAAATCCATTCTTTCATATTTAAATCTCTGCACAGCACTACACTTTTAATACAGTTGATATGTTTGACAAATTAATTTGCCTTCAACTAGACCTCCCCCTTTATCAAATAAGACGTTAGCTTCTAAGAAACATGGATGCAGGATTGAAGGGGAAACCACTCTCAATCCCCTGGCTGCTAGAATGGCTTATAGATGCGTCTTCGTAATCTGACATGTCACAAAGCTCAGGACTGGGCTCATTCTTAATGAGCTTTTCTATTTAAACACCCGTGTGGTCACCATGCACTGTTTCTAGACATTTTGAGGGGGGTTTTGTTTTGTTTTAAATAGAGAGAAACATGGAAAAGGGAAGTAGCCATTAATATGAAATTTGTAAAAACTTAATGATTTTTGATCATTTTAATAAATATATATCAAGAAAACCTCACTTTATTACAACACAGTCATGTACTAGCATCTATCACCTAAAATTTCAACACCAAAATGTTCATCAAATATTGAAAATAAAGGACAAAACATTACTAGACTATTCAGCCATAACACAGGAACATGTTTTAAAAATTGGTCCTTGCGGACAATTTCCCAAATGATCTACTCATACACTGTATGAATGAGACCTATTTAATATTAATAGCAATAATTAAAAAAGCTTCTTCATCTTGGAGAAAGTGGGAGAACTTACCTATTTCCTCCATTTGGCATTTGGTTCCTGTGAATAACCGTTTTAAAAGGCCCAAGTCCTTGGCCTTGGAAATGGGAATACATTTTATGAGGAGGAGCTGGCTGGACTGGGCCACAGTGCCACTGAGGACACGTAGCAATGTGCAAATTCAAGGTATTGTTTGAAGTGTGTGTTGGCCAAATACACAGTAACAATGACGAGCGAGTCCCATTTCTCCAAAATAACGTTCTGCAACCTACAATCTTTACATTCTTTAAGATAAACATATTGATCACCACGTCATCTATTAACATTGTGCTTCTCAATCAACAGCGAAAGTCACATATAGAAACCACATGCTCTTAAGAGTCTAAACGCATGAAATGATGCAAAACAGGGCAAAGTATAACGTATGTAACGCATGCCACGGGCTGTGAACGTCACTGGACAAGAAAACAAAACAACCCAAAGCTCAGAAAGCCCAGACCCAACAACGGTGCGTTGCCATGGAAAAGCCCAGGCAGCTTCCACTGTCCCAATGGCCTTCCCTACTGTCTCCTCCATCTCTACCCAAAATGTCAGACCCACAGCCACTGGGCGTCAAAAACAAAGGAGGAAGAGGATGGCGAATCAAAAGTTGAACACAACAGTTCAAAGTTAAGTTTCCAAACCGCATGGATCCACCCTGTGTGTTTTTCCTATGTGTTAAATCCCTGCTGTAGCTCTGATTTATCCTTAATTTTCACACTGGCAAAAATTAAGATAAAGTAAGGCACCCAAGATCGCCCTGTACACCACACCTCCCTATCAGCCCATCATCAAACTGGCCCTGTACACCACTTTCCTTGTCCTCCCATTAAGACCACCCTCTGTACCACCTCCCTTCTCACCCCATCAAAGATGGCCCTGTACACCTCTCTACTTACCCTACCAAAGATGGCCCTGTACACTACCTCTCTACTCACCCCACCAAAGATGGCCCTGTACACCTCTCTACTCACCCCATCAAAGACAGCCCTGTACACCTCCCTATTCACCCCATCAAAGACAGCCCTGTACATCACTTCTCTAGTCATCCATTACCATCATATGGAAGCTAGGAGCTCGCAGAGTATGGTAGGTGTGTTTCATTTTGTCTCATCCTGTCCAATACAAACACGTCACAACTCATGAAACCATGTCATCTGTTTTCCTGTCTTCAGTCTTCTACTCAGAAAGAAATACTGTATCGTATTGAAGAAGCAGACAGCTCCGCTGGTTATAATGATTTGTTTACCAAGTAACTACCTAATTAACTGGCAAACAAATTGAACTTGTCTTGGCTATCGATGGGCTCTGGAGGGGCGGTGGGAATACAACAGGGGCATGTTGTCCTCAACCTAATCTACTGATTTTTTTTTTTAAAGAAAACTAAGCTATCCTTTCAAACATGAAGTTGGCTTTCCTTGGCAAAATCACATTAGTGAGTGGCTTGTGGATGCCTACTGTACAGATGTTTTGTGCAATCTGCTCTCCAGGCAGTGAAACAACACAGTGTGTTCACTGCATAATTTTATCAGTTGTACAAAACTACAAAATCCATTCAAAATAAAACTCGGTCATGCTGTGCGTGCGTGCGTCCAGGAGCCGGCGGGAGGTCGGTCACATCTTACTTCCCTTGCTGCAGCACAGTTTGTTGCTTGGGGAAAGCTCCTTCTTCCTCAAAGACTTTTTCCAAGACTCACTCACGTGGTTTTTCTCGTTATATCCGGTCTCAAAATAATCATAAAATTGGCCTTTGCACTCAAAATCAAGGTCGTTCCCAAGAGGTTCTCGGCTGAGGGCAACACCGTCTCTGTGGCTGTCGTGACTTACTTTCCCATCATTGGATTTGGCCTTTTCCTGGACACCAAGGGACCTAACATTAGTGACAAAGATCTCACTGGCAGGTATCTGGCCATCGCTCTTGTAAACAGGTGCACTGCCTACATCAAAGTCCACATGGTGGGAGCAACTAGCCAACGGCAGAGGGGAAGAGGAGGGAGAGGAGGGTGGGGAGGAGCTGGGTGGGGAGGAGCTGGGTGAGGAAGAAGAGGAGGAGGGGGAGGAGGTGGGTGGGGAGGAGGAGGGGGATGTGGCTGTGGCAGCAGCTGAAGCGCTCCCGACACCAGCATTGACAGAAAGGGGCAGATCCAGGCAGTGACCCCCACACTCCTGATAAAAACAGCAAGTGTGGAACTTTTCCCAGTCCTCTTTGGCCACCCGGGGCCGTTTCCGGTAAGGACAGTCTTGAGCCAGGAACCACTCTTGGGCGGAGGTGCCACCAAGGGAGCAGGCAGGGAGGCACCAGCTGTTTTGCATGAGGATCTCCCCATGGATCCTCTTCATCAGGTTGTTGATAAGGACAGATCTCCGCAGGTACACTTCCGGGTCATCGATGAACCTCAGCTTCTCCAAAGACATGTACAGGATGTGTGCTCGCTCCTCAAAAATGGAGATAGTCTAAAAATCAGAGACAGGAGGAAGCTTAGGAAACAAAGCTGGTGAAAGTATCACCGCCCAGTTCGAGGCTGGCCGCACTGCTGTGGACGTCCCCCCCCCACCACCACCACCTGTTTCCTGACTCCCGGGTGTGCCAGAGAAGATCCAGTCACCAGGTGGACCTCAGCAGGGCCCAGCCAGAAGGAGGGAAGGAGATGCCGAGACAGTCGACGAGAGCTGTCAGCAGTCAGTCTGGCAGCTGCTGTGGGGTAAGGGGCAGATGACCCCAGGCAGCACAGGGAGGATTCAGGTTAGCCTGGCTGTTGGTGACAAGGAGTGCTCTGGTCGAAATCTATCAAGCTGTATTTCAAATGTCTGTGTGCAGAGGCACACTCATGCATCTCACAGCAGTATGTTTGAAAGTTATTATCTATTTTTTAAAAGATTTATATTACTATTATTTTATTTTTTTGAGACAGGACCTCTCTATTATATATCCTTGGCTGTCCTGGAACTCACTATGTAGACCAAGCTTGCCTTGAACTCACAAGAGATCTGCCTGCCTCTGCCACCTGAGTGCTGGGATTAAGGCCCGTGTCATCCCTATTGGCCGAAAGATTATTTTTATGTGTTTTGAGTGTTTGCTAGCATGTCTGTCTGGTACTATGTGAGTACCTGGTCCCCACCCAAGAGAAGCCAGCAAAGGGCACTGGATGCCCTAGAACTGGAGTCATAGACAGTTTGAGCTGCCAAATGGATGCTAGGGAGAGAACTCAGGTCATCTGCCAGTGCTCTTAACTGCTGAGCCATTTCTCAGCCCCAGGACATGTTTTTTAAAGATTCGAGACGCAGGTTCTAATGGGCACACGTCAGAGTTTGGACTGGGATACCAAGGAACACTGCCGGGGTTTCACACCTGCAACACACCGTTTCCTAAGAGGGCAACTGCAATTAATGAGGCTAGGTTAGGTAGGACCTGTTGGCTTGTGGAGCTGACAGGAACGATAGATCCAGACAGAAACTAGGGATGAGGATGCAGTCCTGGGCTGTGTGGGGCTGTCACTGGGTGAAGGATGGTCCTTTAGAAATTGTTGCTATTGTTAACTTAAAACATGGCCATGCTACGTAGCCTAGGCTGCCCCAGAACTCACAATGTAGCCCAAGTAGGCTTTGAACTTTCTGAACTTGCTCTGCCTTTCAAGAGCTGGGATTACGGGATGTGCCATGCATCTGGCACATCCCAGTAGCAACTGGAAAGCTGATACAGATACAGCACAGAAACTAAACCTATCAACATGGGTGCCTCCTTACAAACAGCCAAAAGCAACTTCTAAAGGCTGAGGAGGGCTGGGGCCAGGGGCCAGGCAGAAGCTGAACTGAAGAGCTCAGCATCTGGCCACCAGGCTCTAGCTACTCATTGATAAGGTCAGTGGAGTTCTGGAGGGAAGGTATCACAAAGGAAAAAGAACCAATACTTAGATGCCCAGTTCTCATGCGTTTCCCCATTGTGTTATTTTCTTTCTTTGGTCCTTCCTTAGGAATTAATTCTGAACTTTAGCAAACTTGACCTGTGTCAGGACGCATCACAAACGGCATGCCTAGGCACACATCCAGGCGATGAGACACTGACCCCCAGGAGGTCAGGAAAACCCTGGACAACCACCCTAACCAGCACACAGCAGTAGCCTTGTGGCAGAGCTCAGACGAGGGTCAGGAAAGCCAAGCTCATCTTCCAACACATGATACCACAGAGCAGCCCTAGTCCTCAATGCAGCCCAGGAATATTAAACCACGGGCAAAAAGATGTGTGCTTCCTTATAGACTTTTTATTATTTCTGGGGAGAAAATCTCTTTTTGGTTCTTTCTTGAAGTACTTGTGAAAAGTAACACAGGCCCTGTCCTAGTTAGGGTTATTATTGCTGTGATGAAACACCATGACCAAAGCAAGTCGGGGAAGAAAGGGTTTATTCAGCTTACACTTCTACACTATAGTCCATCACTAAAGGAAGTCAGGACAGGAACTCAAGCAGGGCAGGAACCCGGAGGCAGGAGCTGATGCAGAGACCGTGGAGGGCTGCTGCTTACTGGCTTGCTCCTTATGGCTTGCTCAGCATGCTTTCTTATAGAACCCAGGGCCACAGCCCAAGGATGGCACCACCCATAATGGGCTGGGCCCTCCCCCATTGACCATTAAGAAAATAGCCTACAGACTTGTGTACAGCCAGCTCTTACACATCCTCTCAGATGACTGTGGCCTGTGACAAATCGGCATAAAAGTATCCAGTACAGGTCCCCCCAAAAGTGACAGTGATTCATGTAGCACCTCACAAAGAAGTTGCTCTCTTCTGTTGCTTAGGTGGAACAATTTAATGTCTGAAAATGGTTCAAGCAAGTGCTACGAGGCATTGTAACTGTTAATAAAACAACTACTATTTAAAACGTACTTTATGGCTGCAGCTGCTGAGTGGTGGGTGAAGATCCTCCTCTTCTGCATACTTCCTCTTGAAGTATGTGACCTTGGATGTGCTTATAGGATTTGGAATTCCCCTGTAATGTGATCCTGCGGTAATAAATCAGATAGACAAATGACACCAGGCCTGCCAGAGGTGCGCCAAGCAAAATACTTTCATTTCCTTTCCCTCTAGTGGATAACTTGGCTACATCCCTGTCTGTACACGCAGTGATGAAAAACAAACATTTGTCTTCATAGCTGCTAGCGACTGACTCCTGTGCGCCTGGGAAGGTAAAGATTTCTAGCAGCCTTAGAGGGAAATGTCACCCACCTTTCGGCATTTACTAAATGCTGGGGATCTTAACTGTCTGTACAGGCAAACAGTAGACTCCAGGGATGGTAGGGGGGTGTGACCCACCTGAAGCGACACTAGCTTGACCACACCTCACAGAGGTGGTGGAGCGTGTGTATGCATCACTTTCGGGGTTAATAAACAAACTCATACACATACATGGAGTTATAATAGTTTTTCTTTTGAAACACAAAATTATAGATGAAAGCTTAAAATTTGTAGTCATTAAATTCTGTTTGACTCTGGAAATGTTAACACACCAACCATGAACAGAGCAGGGCCTCCTCTGAGGACTTTAAAACCTTTTCAGAAACTAGACTTTCATGAGGCTTTTTCTTCAGTTTCTTTTTAAAAGAAAAAAAGAAAGACCTATCACTTCATAAAAACTCAAAGGAACTTATTTGAGACCACTAGAATTAAAGCCCAGAAGAACATATTTCTATTTTCTTGTCAACTGTGTGGTTCATGAAGAGGAGCAGCTTGAAGCTGTGTCAGGGGTGCAGACCCCTTTATGCCTTGTGGGACGGAGCTCTGCACATGGGGCCTGTGAGCTGTACTTCCCCGAGGACCACTCTCTTCCACGGGACAGACCCCGAACCCAAACTTTTGGTAGCTGGTTCAATCCCTTTAAGAAAAAAAGAGTTTCAGGACCTCCGCAGGACTGCAGAGCAAGTAAGGAGGATTTCCCAAGGAGCCCAGCCCCCGGGAATGACTAGACACCGCCTCCTAAGAAGAAGGCCAAAGGCAATACCTGCCAGTTGTGGGCTGGCTCCTGCGTCTCCCTGCACAGGAGCCTGTGCTGGCCCCGGGGGGCTTGCTCCTCTGTAGCTGTCAGCCTCCCATAGCGTTTGGTACCCGGCAATTTCAGCAGCTCCTTCTGAGACAATGGGCTCACAGAATCTATTCATGGACAGAACCAGCGTCATCTCTGACAGCCTCAGATCTGAAAAAAAGGAGGGCGGGTGAGGTGGGACAAACAGCCCTGGTTAGGAGTCAGCCTGAGGATGGTCTCTGCATCATCCTGTGCTTGGGGAGGCTTTCACTTTCCATCCCTCCCCTTCATTCCAAACCAGCAGATTGTTTTTCCAAGGACACTTCAGCAAACTCTTGCTGCTATCGGCTCGGCCACCGCAATCGGCAGCCTGCATCTCAGGGAGGACCTCTAGAGCCCACTCCTTATTGTTCTCAGCTCCCCTCAGCCCCTCAGACAGTTGCTCTGCCTCCCAAACGCATTTTCCTCCTGACCTTACAAATGTACCTCTAAGAGGAAGGGCCAGGCCCCTGTGCCTCCTTTCTATTAATAAGGTGAAATCAATTTTCTATTCAAGCCCCTAGGAGTCCCCTTTGATGAAATCTGCTGATCAGTGGGGGGCGGGGGCAGGGCAGAAGTCCCTAGGGTCCTCCCCGCACTCTGCTCTCTTCCCAGTTCCTCGGCCACACTCTCTCCTCCCGGGTGAAGCAGACAGACACTCGGTAGTTGTTTCCACAGCCCCGATCGGCCTGAACTGGATCTGCCTCCAGTCAAAACACTGCGAGATGAAGACAGAAAATTGGCTCCAGTTTCCAGCCGTGAGTTGCAGTCCCACAGGAGCCAAGCACAACATCAACCAGGCAGCAGAATATTAAACAGGAGCCAGGGCTCTGGGCAGAGGCAGCCAGCAACTCTTGAAACTGCAAAGCCAGATGCAAGGCAGGAACTTTCCAAGAGTCAACACATCACCGCCCTACTCTCTGGTTCCCACCCTGACCTCAGGACTGCAGGGAGCCAGCCTCTGATGCTCTGGGGTACTTCCAGACTCTGACCCTGTGTAGTAATCCAGGCCACAGGGCCACTTCCATGGGGCTCAGTGTTGACCCTCAAGATAGGGTCAAGAGTATGTTTCAGGGAGAAAGTCTGGGGCCACAGGCCGGAGAGCAGACCCAGCACCTGATTCCTGGTTCCTTCAGGGCAGTGGTTCTCAACCTTCCTCACTCTGTGACCTTTAACACAGTTCCTCATGGTGTGGTGACCCCCAACCATAAAATTACCTCATTGCTACTTCCTAACTGCAATTTTGCTACTGTTATGAATTATGACGTAAATATCTATGTTTTCTGATGGTCTTAGGTGACCCCCGTGAAATAAGGTTGTTTGACTACCACTTAAGGGGTCGAGACCCACAGGTTGAGAACCACTGCTACAGGCCCTCCAGACCTGCATGGCTCACTTGTGTTATGTGGATCTGTCACTGACGTGATGTCAGGCCTGCTTGCTGAAGATGGATTTTCTTTTATAGCAAGAGCCCAGTTCATTCCTCTGCCTTCAGGCTAGGGCAAAGGTGAACTTGTCCTTGTCTTACGGTCAAGTCCTCTGGCCCGCAGTGACTACTGGCAGCAGACTCTTTCTCCAGGCACCCGTGTTTTCGAATTCAGCCTCAGCCCTGCATCATGAGACAGGGCTGGGTCTCTACTCAATGGGCAGAATTGGGGTATAGCTGACTTGGGCTTTGGAATTTACCCTTCAATTTTTCTTTCCAAAGAGATACCAGAAACACCTTAGGGAAAGAGGACGTGTGTTGTGTTGTGTGAGTGTACGTACAAAACAACTCTCTATCAAGAAACGGTGGGCGATACCATTTATTTCAATCTTTTAGTCATCAACAAGGAAATCTGCCTTCATCAGTTCAACCAATTCAGGCCTTTGCTTTCTGCCCCCTCAGACTCTTCAGCCAAGCAAAGAATCACGGACACACTCCAGTTTCTTAACCTAGTCTAAAAGACATCTATACCCAGGGAAGCCACACCTGGGACAGACAACGTGGAATTCACGCTCACTCCTGGGGTGGGTTCAGGGAAGAGGACCCAAGCCTTTCCCTGGTGGAACTTTTATTACATATAAACAAAAGCAGGTTGACAAACCCATGCCCCTAAAGAAGGAGAAGCCCTGCCAGGCTCCTGGCAGCAATTACCTTTGCTTAATAGGACATTAATGGGCCCTGGGCTGCTTCACCGTAGTCAGAGTTTGTTTATATTCTAATGACTTGGGGAGCAGCTTTTCCGTTGTGAAGACTCTCGGGGCTTCTATCTGTTAGCATTGTTCACAACATATGAAATCCATCGTTATGCATTTGAACTTGAAGTGTGGCATAATAGTTTTTGGCGTGGCTGTTTCTTTTGTTTATAACATCTAATTTCAGCAAGTTTTTCTTTTTCAAATTGGAAACTGTTATACACAAGATCCTAAATGGGAGAGGCTGGGTTCTGCAAGTGATTTATTTAAGCTGGAATAAAACATGAATGAGCTGGGACTACTTGGGAGGGGGAGGAGAGTCTGCAATTGAGCCTTCCTGGTCTATTTAGAACTCACACTGATGTTAACCAATTAGGGAGGCAAGAGTAGTGTGCATGAGACGCTGGGCTGTACAGTGCTGGTTAAGCATGGGTCTTGTGCTATGGAACCCAAAGTCCCAGTTCACAAGTTCATGCTGTTACTATGAAATACAGACACAATGGTGTATATGATAGAGATTGTGTTTTAAGATCAGAAATGAGAGGATTAAAATTGAAAGTGTTAATGCGATAATTTGTAGCCCTCAGGCTGCTGTGCCCCTGTTTGGTCACTGGGGTGATGCTGTGGAATGACCCCCTCCCCCAGCACCCTCACAAGGCTGGAGGCCAAGAGTCGGTGTTTCTATCCAATGTTCCTCATACAGGCGTTTCTATACCGTTTGGTTTTTCCGGGTGAACCATTATGGTGTTAAAAGGAGTGGCTACCGTGGTTCCGAGGTGCCAGGAACCTCACAAGCTACTGGGAAACAAACCAGCACAGCAGAAGGATCACCTTCCTCCTCTTCCTGACACTGGGAATTACAGACCGTTTTATAAAGGAGCATCTAGACAGCCGGAAGACAGAGTCCAACCCTGGAGAGCATGGAGGGACCGCAGCTATCCAAGGCGGTCCAGAGAATGCAGAGCTCTGTCTTGGGGAGCCAAGGGATTTCCTCACCCACTGACTCCAAATAGTCCCAGACAGGATCTCAACAGTTTGTCCGATTCACCCAATGGTGGAGGTGGGAGCTGGATGGTTAGAACAAAACCCTTCAATGCTCCAAACCCGACAGGTGCCGCTTTTCTCAGGTCCCTGTGGGGATACGGGCAGTGCACTGGCCAGCGGCAGTCCCAGGAGGCTAAGAGCTCTAGGTCCGGTGTTGGGGTTGGGAATGCAGGTGTGGGGAACTAAGGAGGTCAGAGGTTCCCCGCTGGGAGCTTTAGGGTCAGCTCTCTCATCCCAGGCCCAAGGTGGGGTGCTAGGGTGTGACGGTCCCCTTACCCAGGGTCTTACTCAGACGCACCCTGGAGACTGGTGCCATGCCCTTAAGCCCCTTTCCAGGACAGAGGGCACCGTCCGGCCAGCCTCAGGCCGCAGGGAAAAGTAAACAGTCCAAGTGTCTGGGAACAAAGGCAAGTAGTCTTCCAAGGTACCGGAGCCCAGTGCCTCTCCTGAAGAATAAGGGCTATGATTATTCGCTCTCCTTCTAAAAACCAAGTTTCCTTCTATGGGAAACACTCGCCAAGGTGGGATTCCAAGGCTATGACTCACGGCGGCTGGCGGGGCCGCACTCCAGCCCGCAGCTGCCAGGGTCCTTCGCCGAGCCGCGGCCGCCTGCGCCGTGCGCGCCGCTGGGGCCAGGGTGGACCTTGGTGCCCCGTTCCTGCGGCCAGGCGCTCGGGAAAGTTGCGGGGCCAAGGAGGCTGGCAGAGGCGGGGGCGTGGGCCTCGTAGCCCGAGGGAAGGTGAGCCGAGGACAGCGCCGCCCGCAGCCGGGAGCAGGGGCGGGCGCGGAGGTGGCGGGGGACACAAGGTGTCAGCTTCAGCAGCGGCGCCTTGTTCCGCGGAGCGCGCGCCCCTGAGACCCGCAGGCCCTCCTTCCCTACCCTCCGGCCCCGGGCCGACCCTCTTGCCACCCGGGGACACCCGACTCGCCGCTATGGGGGTCTCCGCCGACCGCCCGGGTCGCCTCGTGCACGCCGCTTCTCCGGGGAAGGGCGCGCGGCCC